ACCAAAAAAAAAAAATATCTCCATATATTTGTCACCATAAACCCTTACCACATTCCGATGTCACATACAAAAAGTTCATCTTAACATCATCATGCACCAACCAACTCATTGGTCTATATAAGGTCTATAAGATAACTTCTTTTCGGTTGCTAGGTTTCAATCCTCCTCGAGCTTGTTGGACAAATATGGTTATCCTTATTATTGAATTGAGGAGTATTTATATAGATTTTGAGATGAAAATGTTGCTCATGTAAATAAATGAGCTACTCAAATATATGATTTATTCTTAAATATTATATTTCATATTATCTCTATCATGATTTTTTATCATATTTTTCTATCATGTCTTTTCAAGATTGAGCTTTTGTCAAGAATGTTACTCTTGGACCGATGCAATTGAGATATCTTATGGGCAAGAGGTTTTGCCGATCTGACATATCCAACTACATGAGACGAGCCTAGCTGAAGTAGGAGAATAGCGATGGGCACACTTAGATCTATTATGACGAAATGGCAGGCGGATGTTATGATTTGGTTGAAGTCCTCCGGCTTGATTTCTAGAGCAATGTGGATAGTGGAAAGATTATCAAAATTGGTGACGTTGTGTTGTGGACAAAATTGCAAATGAAGTGTTCGATGTAATACTTATGTATGTCCATGTCTTTTGGTTTGTTCATGCTTTGCACAACATATAGAGGTATGGTCGAAGGCTTAACAACCCCAATTTAGTTAGGTTTAGTGGCCAATTTAGGCTTGTAAATAAAGGTTGTGTCACATGGACACTTGTAGGAGATTTCGGTCTGTAATGGGCCATTTTGGACCATTTGTTGTGTAAACGTTCAGAGTTTATGAAGTCTGTTTGTAATTTGCATTGACTTTGAAGTATTTGCTGAAATGATTACTTGTAGATATCGAGTGAGACGCTTTATCTATCTTGTTTTCTCTTTTGTAAGTCCTAAGTATTAGGATCAAGAGCACTAAGAGGGGAGGGGGGGGGGGGGGGGGGGTGAATTACTATAGCAAAACAAAAACTACGTCGATTTCAAATGACGTTCATACGATGAAATCATTTCTGATGTAAAACCGTTTTTGGAAACTTAACTTGAAAGCGAGTTCGTAAAGGAGTGCAGCAAAAGTAACAAGGAAGTAAAGCACATATGGAGGTTTGCAGTAAGGTAAAGAGCAAGAATAAATGCAAACCAGAGAGCACTGTAATTTTTGGGTGGTTCAGTCAATCTTGACCTACATCCACTTTTGGCTTCCTCCTCCGACGAGGTCATCGACGCCCACTAGATGCCTTCCTTCAATAGACGAAGGCCAACCACCCTTGTACAATTTCACTCCTTTTGATGGGCTTAGGAGACAACCCTTACAGAATTTTCACTCCTCTCTTGAATGATCAAAACTTAGAAGAAAAGAGGGAGGAGAACTTTTGGCCTTTATAACACTTTTGAGCTCTAAAATCACAGAGCAAGATCAAGCTTTCGGTTACCCTTTCATGCAGAAAGGGTGGGGTTTATATAGGCCCAAATCAGTTTGAATTTAGAGCTGAAAAGTGTCATCTCCCAGTTTTTCGGGGTCCTGGCGGTACTACCACTTGTCATTTGTCATTGAGTGGTACTACCGCTCAGTTTGGGTGGTACTATCGCCTGACATCGCTCAGAGACCGAGCTCAAGCGGTACCACCGCCTGACAGGGGCGGTACCACCGCCGGCAGTAATAACTGCCGGTGGTACCACCGCCTGACAAGGGCGGTACTACCGCCCAGAATTCCTAGGAGACCAAGTCTCCTAGGTGGTGCCACCGTCGGCCCCGGCGGTGCCACCGTTGGCCCCGGCGGTGCCACCGCCGGCCAGGAATTCTAGGTCCGAATGGGTTGATCCATTCGGCCCAATTTGAGTTTGTCAAGGGCCCAATTGCCCCCAGATTAAGTTAATGGGATCACCTCCCATTCCTAACTTAATCTACATGATAACTATGATATTTAAGACATTAATACTGCAACTTGCTCCGGTGCGTCAATCGCTTCTTCCGGTGAGCTTCCGGCGAACCCTCAGCGATGTTTCGGTGGACTTCCGGCAAACTCCTGGACTTGCGACGATCAACTTGGCGAGTTCCGACGAGCTTCTTTGGCAAGCTCATGGACTT